CCTCCCCCCACCCCGTCCACCCCAGGGCTCCTCAGAAGCGTGGCTGTCACCAGCACCGCACCGAGTCACCGCCCCAGTCACCGCCTGGCGCACCCCGGAGCAGGAGGTGCCAGCAGCCGCTCCCAGTCCGAGTCGGGGCCACCGAGGCCAGCCCAGATTGGTAGAAGGCTCCGGGCCAGGGCCCCGCACGCCGCATCCCAGGACGAGGTCAGCGTCAGGCCGCGGGTCGGTCCTGGGTCCTCGGTCCGGGTCTCCATTTCTCCTCCTCCGGGCCAGGCAAGATCCGGAACCGCTCTAACTGGGCTTCAGTTTCCGTCAGTGCCAAGGGGAGGAGAGGGCTTAGCACGACTTCCGGTTCGTCTCTTTTTCCTTCCTCTGGACCGATGGCGTTTCACCGCGACAAACCGATGAGCAAGCGCACGCGTGTGTATGTCGTCTGGATTCCAGAGGACAGGTCCGCATCTTCGCCGGCTGAGATCCGGGAGAAGGCGCGTGCGTTGAACGCTGCAGCGGCCTGTTTGGGCCTTGGTCCGTGCGCATGCGCAACGCTCTGCAAGGCCCTGCTCCCAGCCCCAGGACCCCGGGAATGGCCGCCGTTTCTTCCGGCTCGCCCCCTGTGGCGTGCACGGCGCATGCGGCTTTGCGGGCGGTGAGCACCGCTAGCTGATCCGGGTAATTATTGCACTCCACCACCTTCAAGCGTTCAATGGTGAAAACTGACAGCACGTGGAACTTGAAACTTTCTAGAAGCCCACAGGATAGAAAGCTAGGTATTGCCCTCCCCCGGTTCTCTTCCTGAAGTGGCTAGTATAATTTTAACATCTTTACAGAAACGTGGAATACCAGGTTTCAAAGTTGTACTGAAAGCTATATATCTCTGGGAAATAATTTTTGTCACCCATAACCTAGTTTCGCCCCAGATCTTTTTGTGTGTATGTGTATGAGTGTATTGCCTGCATGTATGTAAGTGCACCCATGTGCAATGCCCACGGAAGGCAGGAGAGGGCGTCAAATTCCCCTGGAACTGGAATTACGGTAGGTTGTTAGCTGCCTTTTGGGTCCTGGGAATTGAACCGAGGTCCTCTGCAATAGCAGTCAGTGCTCTTAACTGCTCAGCCATCTTTCCAGCCCCACTGCCCCAGATCTTTATTCTGAGTTCATCACTCAGTTTAAATTACCATTTTCATTTTAGTTTATATGTGTACCCCCATCAAAATCTGAACAGAATGACCTTTGGTGCTGTATGTACGTCATCTGTATTATGTCACTGTATTTACGTCATCTGGCAAGAAAAAGACGTTCCAATGTGTTTTTCACTAGGCAGTCAACAGAGTGTATAGTAAGTGAGTTCATCGAGATTGAAAGAGAAACCCAACCAAAGACCCAATATAAAAAAATCCAGAAATAGTAGCCTTACGTCCTAGTTTTCAAATGCTTTTTAATAGGCCACTTATTCTAAGTTGCTATTTATGTTCAGTGTTTCTAGTTTTCTCTGGTGAGTAGTTAGGATCTGTACAGGTAGTCCGAAGGAAAGCACGCATTTCAGAAAAACCAGTTTGCAATTTTGTGAGCATGATTTAAAAAAAAAAAAATGTCTTGTGGAATTTATTTCCTTAAATAAAGCTGATGGAGCAGAATCAGAAAAGTAAAGACTTAATTTTTAGCTCATCATTCTTCATCTCTGCCTAGCTGCATCTGAGCAGTTCCCGGAGTTTACCAAGGTCCCTAGCCCTTATCACCTCTATATCATCCTTTGCTTTGCCCTCTGTCCCTTCTAATGAATGGTGCTGCTGACTGAATCAGCGTTACCTTTACCCCTTAGCATAGTATAAACAACCCTCTGTACCCTGACTCTTACCTCCAGTCTTCTCTACCTAGAATACCATTTCTTTCCACTACACATGAAAATTCTGTTTACCATTCAAAACCAAGCTCTAGTCTCTGTTAAAGGATTGAATTGATTCCTGCGTGCACCGCTGTACTTGTTCAGGCACTGGAATGCCCTTGTAGTCTCACACTTGCTTTTCAGATTTGCTTCCCCTACCATCTCATCTGTGCGCTTGCTGGACTTGGGAATCATTTTGTGCCCAGCAGAGTAAAGGACTGTTCTATTGTGTGGAATTGGTAAGTTGGTGACAAGTGGCAGCTTTATCACAAAAAGGAGCACAAAGAGGCAAAAAATAGCGAAATTTTAGGTTTCCTTTCAAAGCTTGCATGGTTAGGGTTCAGAGTTGTCTCCAAACTTACTAATTTTTTTTCTTTTTGAGACAGGGTCTTCCTGTAGCCCCAACTAACCTGGAACTCTCAATGTAGACCAGGCTAGCCCTAATCTCACAGAGATCTGCCTGTCTCTGCCTCCTGAGTGCTGGGACTAAAGGTGTGTGCCACCACATCCAGCCTCAATGTTAATATTATAAAATGCTATTGCTACTGAAATTGTAATAAATTGCAAAGGATTTTGTTTTTCCTTTTGAAATAATTAAAAGTATCTGTTGGAAACTTCACACTAATACAGGTTTCACTTACCTGTTTTTAAATAATTCATTACAATTTATTGATATGTAAGAAGTCAAGATGCCCTCTAGGAGAATATTTCAGATGGTTTTCAGTGTGGCATGTGCCACGCACCTGTAGTCCCAACTACTTGAAATGGGTGGGAGGGTCACTTGAGCCCACAAGTTAGACTAGACTGGGTAACACCAGGACCTTGTCTAAAAAAAAAAAATCTGTTTTCAGAATATGAGCCAGCACATATTGAAAGGTACATTTTAGAAGAATGCAAATATTGATTTTCTTGGCCTTCATGTAGTAATGTAACCGTTTACACTGTGTGAATTTTAAATAGTACACAGTACACATCCTGCTTTTTACCCAGGAGTATACTTCCCAGCAAGGTGGTTATAGGAAGTGAATTTTTCTCCTGGCTAGGACCATTTTTATTATACCTCCCCTCCTTCCTTCCCTCTAAATGCAGTTGGTTATCTACAAGAATTAGGTGTGAATGGAGTAGACAGGATGGAGAATCATTGATATTTTGTATATCCACCTATAAAAATCAAAGATTGGGGGAATCAGCTCAAGTAATTTTTCAATTCAGTATTTTTTCTATATATTTTAATTGAATTTTGAGCATTTCATACATTTTTGGAGGTCCTTTTGATACAGATTTCCCTGTAGCCCCTGCAGGTCTGGAACTCATCATGTAGACCAGGGTAGTATTGATCTCACAGAGATATGCCTGCCTCTACCTCTCCAGTGCTGGGATTAAAAGCATGCACCACTACGTTCGGCTCATACAATACATCTTAATCATATTTAGACTCCCCTAGCCACTCTCCTCCATAGCCCCCCTCCACTAGGTTTCATACATTCTATCATATGTGTTAAGGCCCCTGAGTTTGTGTCCTTATAGATGTCCCTTGCTGTGAATTCATCCACTGGAGCCTGGTCAGCCTATCTAGCGTCACTCCCTCAAAGAATAACTCTCCCTCACCCAATAGTAATCAGATGCCGTAGTTCCTTGAGTAAGGCTGGGACCTCCTGTCTATTTCCCCAGTTCTATGCTGGGTTGTTTAGTTTGAGTTTACATGGGTCTTGTGCATGTTGTCACTATTGCTGTAAGTTCATATGGGCAAGTTTCCAGAAGCCTGGAAAACTTGTTCCCTGTGTTCATCCACCACCCCTGGCTCTTACAATCTTTCTGTTCCTCTTCCATGGTGGTCCATGAGATTTTGGTGCATGAAATTTATCCTATCCAGGGACATGCTCTCTGCAGTCTCTTATTTGCCACACTTTGGCCATTTGTGGCTTTCTGTATTAATCTCCCTCCCTCTGTTGCATAATGAAGCTTTGCTGATAGTAGTATTCTCTCAACCCTCTGTTCCACTATGTTCTGTGAGCCCTAGGTGCAGAGGTTCCATGGTAAATGTGTCACTTAGGGCTGGGCATCTCCACCAGTTGTGGAACTCTGTAATCATCTCCATCTGTTTCAAAAAGAGGATGAGTTAAGCCACTTATGCTAAGAAGATAAAATATTATAATTTTTATTCTGGAGAAAAATTTGCTTTTGAAATGATCTTGTGCTGTAAGTATTTTCTATTTTTGTTATTAAAATAGACCTAGAATAATGACCATATAGAATAAATAAATGATATTTAAAATTTTTTAAAAATTGTTATTTTTGTTAGATTTGTTATTTGTTTCCCATCAGCCTTAACATTTTTTGATTATCATGGAACTGGGCTCTTTAAAACACACGTCCTTTTGGATGTGAAAAAACATATTTTGATCCAGTGGAAAAAGCACGGGCATCCATTCGTTACTGAAAAGCTCTTCTCAGTGAAAGATAACAATTACATCCCTCGAGAAATTGACCAGGTGGCAGGAGACCGTGACATGGCAATTGTCATTACCCTTGGCCAACACTTCAGACCCTTTCCCATCAACATCTTCATCCACAGGGTCATCAATGTTAAAAAGGCCATAGAATGACTATTCCTTCGAAGCCCAGAGACCAAGGTGGTACTTAAAACTGAAAATACCAGGGAATTAAATCAAAATGCAGAGCTGTTCAGTGACTTCCATGGCTATATTCAGAATCTTATCATGAGGGCCATTTTTGCGGATCTCAATGTGGGTGTTATTGATGCCTGGGACATGACAGTTGCATATTACTCTAACAGTGTCCATCCTCTTGACAGTGTTATTGAAAGTCAGACTGGCATGTTCTTAAACTACATTTGCTAGAGGATTTCAACACACAGAAAATACCACCAGCCCCTCTCTCTGGATGATCTCACACAGATTGCAAAGAAAACTTAATGTAATCCAACATATGAAGAAGCCAGATTTCCAGTAATATTTAGAATTGTAATTGAATGTATGTAACATAAAATTTACCATTCAAACCACTTTTAAGTGTACAATTCAGTAGCACTGAGTGCAGTCACATGGTATGTAACCATCGTCATGATCCATCTTCATAACTTTTTCATCATCCCAAATAGAAACATGAACCTTGAGCCCCACACCTCAGACACTTCCAGCGTATCTTCGGTCTCCATGGATTTGACTTTCCTATACATATCATATAAATGGAATCATAAAATGTGAAAGAAAAAAAAAGTTTCTTTGATGAGTGGTGACAGGTATACTTATATTTTAATATAAGGATCCATATTTAGCATATTTAAAAATTACAATTGTTTAGGGATGTAACAGACGTAGGGTTTTCTCTAGGATCTGTGACCTCTCTAGTCATGTGTATTTGGCTGTGTTTACAGAGCGATGCCTGAGAAAACAAGGTTATCTGAGAAAGTTAGGAAGGGTGTGGAGGGTGAAGGGTAAAAGAAAATGGTTAAGGAAGGTCCTTGTGTTTCGCAATAACAATAAAATGTGGAAGGACGAGGAAGTTTAACTGGATGCTCTTCATTTTCAATCCAGAAGAGAGATTGTGTGTGTGTGTGTGTGTGCGCGCGCGCTTTTCAGTCACAGATATATCAGGGCTAGATCAGTTATCATTGAGTTTTGTCTGCGTGTTTTTGTTGCTTTCCTTTGGTCTTTTGAGACAAGATCTCACGTTGTAGCTCTGGATGACCTGGTGTTCTCTATGTAGACCAGGCTGGCCTTGAACTTGCAGTGATTCTCCTAAGTCCACCTCTAGAGGCCTGTACTACCACACCGTTTATACCAGTTGTGTTTCACCCCCATATACACTGACTCTATCCTTAGGTGTTGAACACATTTTGAACACACCCCTTATGAGCAAAAACTAATCATAGCCTAAAAATGGTCATAGAATCCAAATTCATTTTTTCTACACCACACTCCCCAACAAAATTTTTGTTTGCCAACAAAATTTTTCTTGTCTGATACTTAAAAACAAAACAAAACAAACAAAACTAATGGGAAGGTGCGTCATACTCCTGCTGCCTCTGCCTCCGTATATCCCAACCCCCAGCTTTGTATTTTTATTTTATGTTATGTGTAGTATTACTTGTTATGTAGTTTGCTTGCATAAGTTTATGTGCATCATGTCCATAAGCCCATGCAGGAGCCCCATGGAGGCCAGAAGAGGACGTCAAATCCCCTGGAACGAGTTATAGGCAGTTGTGAGCTGCCATGAGGTGCTGGGAACTGAGCCCGGTTTCTCTCTAAGAAAGTAAGCGCTCATAAACATAGAGTCCTCCAATAATACCTACATTCTCTGCCTGCCTTGGAGCATGCCGGTCTTTTCTGTCCTTATTTCTTCTCACTTGCTGCCGCCCGGAGGAACCAGGACGCAATAACTTAATACTCCGCTCGGTCAAGTCCAGGCAGCGGAGTGTCGTCCTCCTCACTTCCACCGTTTAATTTCCGCAGTTTCCCTTTCAGAGCCTGCTACAGGAAAAAGTTCAGTCTCTTCTGAGGTTTTCTAGGTAGAGGGACCTCACGGTAAGCAAACCAAAATGTAAATCTTAACGGCCTGCGAGTTTCCGGCAGGAGGAAGTCTGAGTTATTCTAACTCTGGGGCCCGTTGGGAGTGTCCAGGAGGTAGGAAGGGAAGCGCCCAGCTGGTGACCGGCAGACGCCAGCTGTCCCTTTGGCCGCGAAGGCCCTGATGGCAGCCTAGACCAAAGCGTCCTCCCTGAACCAAAGCATCCTCTCTGGACCCGAATCCTCGCCTGTTCCTCCGCCTCAGCGCCACCAGGGGGCGCAGCAGGACGCGGAGACTCCGCGCATGCGCGCTGCGCGCCCCAGCTTCCCAGACCACGGCCCCATGAAGGCGGCGGCGTCAGCCGAGGTAGCGGGCCGCGAGCAGCCGCGGAAACTGGGACTCTGCGTTCTCTGCGGGCTGCCGGCGGCGGGAAAGTCGACCTTTGCGCGTGCGCTCGGCCGCCAGCTGCGGCGGGAGCGGGGCTGGACCGTGGGCGTCCTCTCCTACGACGACGTGCTGCCCGACGTGCTCCGGGACAGGGTGGACGCGCGGCAGCCAGGCAGCACCGGGCAGGTGGGGGCGCGGCCTACTGTGACCCGGCCCCCGCGGGGCCGCGGGGTGTTGAGAGGGTTGCTGGTGGGTAGCCGCCCTGTGACTAGGCCGTGCCTGCAGTGGGAGAAGAGGGAAGCTGGGTAGGCTCTGCACCTTGGAACGAGGTGCTCTTAGAAATCTGACTCGGCCGTGCTTGCAGGTGTTTGCATGTAAATTTGGCGTATTTGCATGTTGCACGCATATTGCAGTGGTGCTCTGAAGACAGCCGAGTTGCCCAGGTTGGCCTCAAGCTGCTGGGCTCAAGGATCCTTCGGACTCAGCCTCAGGCAGGCTGGAGTACATTTGCACACTGTGCCTTGCATCAGACTCCCAAGGCAGAGTGACGTGCTTGAGTTTGGTGTGCAAAATAGAAATCCTTCCTAGTCAGATGTACTGATAATCCCATGGAAGTTTCTCTTTCAGTGGTGGAAGGAATCTCTAAAAAGATAAACACCAGCAAAACACCAGGTTTTGTGGGACTTGAGCGCTACCATTTGGGAGCACCTCCCCGCCATGAAAATACAGGGCCCCCGTGTGGCGCACTCCTTCAGTCCCAGCAGACTTAAGAGGATTTCTGTGAGTTCGAGGCCAGCGTGGTCTACATAGTGAGTTCCCAGGCCAGCCAGGGCAACAGTGAAATCCTACCTGAAAAAAAGGGCCTGGAGACATGGATCGGTGGTTAGCCTCTGCGGGCACTGCACTCAAGTGCACAGACACATATACACATACACATAATTAAAAATAAAACCTTTTTAGAAATATTAAAATTTTCAAGAATAAAGAATACACAGCGAAATTGCTAGGTCTTCCAGGAAAGATAGATTAAGCAGACCCCAACCAAGGGTCTGGTTCCTGAAGCTTAGCTTTCTTCCTCATAGGGTCAGTTTTGGAAAGGTGACACTTTTGACAGCCGGATGAAGTGATGGGCTTGTATTGTGTACTTTACCTTGAGCCTCACCACTTAAGTCCCATGAGGCGCATCTCTCCTAGAAGCACGTGGAAGCAGTCAAGCACTGCCTCCTGTTGCATACTCTGGAGCAAACACCCTTTTAGATACTCTGAAATCTTAAATTGTTACTGTTGGTTGGTGCCTGAGTGTAGATGAATTCACATGAATCAAATGTAAATATGGTGGGACTCCACTCTAAGTATACATGCAAAGATACAGTGCATTTGGCATTTGGAACACATTCAGACTTCTCCATCCAAATTTGCTTCATTGTAAGATTCAGTATTTGGGTACACACGATTTACTTGGAGAGTACTGTTTTCGAGTTTGTAGAAAACTAAACATTGTGGATAAGGATTGTATTTGTTGACTTTTCCTTCTATTCTCAGACTATATATTCCCCCTCCCCTTTCCTCTAAGACTAAGAGTCTCTTTGGTCACTATGGTTAGAAAATCTCAACCTTTTAGGGAATGAAGCATGTTTCCTTCTTGCTGGGTTTAGCTGATATACTGTCAGGCAGGGGAGGAGGGACCTTGGATCTCCAGTCCTTTTACCTCTCCTCCATCCTCGCCTTCAGAACTAGAGTGCTCTCCACCACCCTACCCAATCCATCTGTAGTCTCAGGCTCCTTATTTTCTCCCCCCAGGCTTCTGCTGTCTCCCAACCCCACACCCCAGTTGTGGGCCTGAGATCTGCATCTTGGCTGAAGGACCTTTCAACTGATTGACCTTGCTGTCAATGTCTTTTTTCATTTCAAGGACAAACCAGCATTGTTATATATCAGACTATTTTAATGTAGCAGGATATTGATTTTGGCTCATTTTCAAATACTTTTTTTTTTTTTTTTTTGGTCTTTTTGAGACAGGGTCTCCTTGTAGCCCCAGCTGTCCTGGAACTCACTATGTAGACCAGGCTGGCCTTGAACTCACAGAGATCTGCCTGCCTCTGCCTCCTGAGTGCTGGGATTAAAGGCATGTGCCACCATGCCTGGCCTTCAAATACATTTTTTAAACCTGTAAGGTGCTAGTCTCTGCTGGAGACTGGGTGATCTAGCAGAGCCAGAGATGTGCAGGGTGCGTGCAAACACCTACGTGCATGTAAACCCTGCTAAAGTGAAGACACCGGTACAGAGCAGGGCTGAGTTGTCTTTGACATGGTCGTGTCTGAGAAAGCTTCACACAGCACTAGGAGCACTGGGTAGGAGTTGTCTAGGCAGAGGGAGCAGTATGTAGGGAAGTCTGAGAAACGAGGTGTCTGCAGAGAACTACAAAGAATTCAGTATTGTGAACTGAAGCTTCAAACGGGGACAGGATGGCAGTAACAGCAAATACCCATTCTACTGGCCAAACTTAGAAGTTTCTGGGTTTTTTTTTAACAGCCACCCCAATGGAAAATGCTCCGAGAAGAACTGTTGCAATACCTGGAATGTTTCCTGGCGGCGGCTGTTAATGGGAGTCAGATCTCTGCCCCACCCAACAGGACTGAAACCATGTGGGAAGATTTTATAACCTGCTTAAAGAACCAAGATTTGATATTTTCTGCAGCACTTGAGGCCCAGTCTTGCCACCTCTTAACAGAAACTGCTGTTTCTGGACCTTTGTTTTTGGTGTTAGATGACAACTTTTATTATCAAAGTATGAGATATGAAGTCTACCAACTGGCTCGGAAATGTAATTATAACATTTTTTTCTTTCTTGTGGAAACATTCACATATGTCAAAATCACAGCTTCCTTCAGTGATAATTTGGCTGTATTAGGTTATATGGATTTAATCCTTTAAACTGGGTGTTCAGTATTGCAAATGGAATTTTTCCTGCTGCGGCTAATTTGTAGAGTATTTAGTTCAATTTTTTGAAGAGACAGACCTGTAATTTTGTGATTTTTAAACTCTTTCAGATTCCTTAGGCTTTTGCCAACTCTTTTTAGACTGTCCTCTGGAAACCTGTTTGCAAAGGAATGGACAGAGACCACAGCCACTGCCTAGCAGGACCATCCACCTGATGGAAAGAAAGATAGAAAAACCCAACCCTGAGAAAAACGCCTGGGAACACAACAGCCTCATAATTCAGAATCCAGCATATCCTTTGGAAGCCAGGTACCCTACTTAAAGCCATTCTGGGCAGAGACGGGTGGGTGGGTGCAGAGTGTTCCTTGACCAGCTGGTCTAGTGAGAGACCCTGTCTCAAAAAAATAAGGGGAGAAAGGATTAAGGAAGACATCCCAGCATCAACTTCTGGCCGCCACATGCACATGCATGGGCAAGCACACCCCCACACTGCACACATACACATACGGTATGTCCTGGAGGTTACAGCAGGGAATTTGTAGAAGACATCTTTGGCACTCTTGCTGAGATAGTCTAAATAGTTTGCACTTGGGTTACTATTGTGTTTCCAGTTCATGAAATAAGCCACTGATAAGGTTTCTAGTTTTCCTTTTTTTGTTTTTTTGTATTTATTATTTTCATGTGTGAGTGTATTGCCTACATGTAAGTGCACCCATCATGCAGTGGCCACAGAGGTCAGAAGAGGGTATCAGATTCCCCTGGAACTGGAGTTACAGGTGGTTGTTAGCCACCATGTGGGTACTGGGAATCGAACCCAGGTCCTCTGCAAGAGCAGCCAGTGCTCTTAACCACTGGGCATCTCTTCAGCCCCTTTGTTTTCTGAAACAGGGTCTCAGTGTGTCACCCAGGCTGGCCCAGAACTCATGATCCTTCTGCTTCAGCCTCTCTAGTGTTGAGATTACAAGTGATGCCATCAAGCCCCGGCAGAGGTGTCTGGTTTAAACTGAGCAGCCACACAGTCAACTGCTACTCTTTGGGAGTTTTTAAAATTATTTCCCTGTCAGTAAATGGCTGGCTGACACACCGGGATATTGTTAGAATAGCCTAAGGTTTTTGTCACTGCTTTTACGCTGGGGAGATGCGGGCCTTGCTAGAAGCGAATGCAGGTTTCTGTAGTCACTGCCAGCCTTTATTGTCACCTACAGTTGCATCCCAGGTCTTGTGAACTTGGTCAGGTTGCTTGTGCATACACAAGTAATTACAGGGTAACTATGGACCCTTGACTAGTAAGGAATTTTGTTAATCTTTATCCAGTAAATAAGCTGAAGCCAGAAAGTTAAAATTGACTTTCTTTACTAAAATAGCTTAATATTCTACAGTCCAAAATTTAATAAAGAGAATGACTTCACAAAGCTTGCTATGAATATTAGACAATTAACATTTTATGAAGTAGCGTGGCTTATAATTTGTTTTGAGCTACACTTAACATTTTGCAAGTGGAAGGTAGCTTCCAAATTATTTTATTCCCCTTTTAATAAGGATATGGGATGATAGCAATTTTGCTCCTCTAGAGTTTTAGTATTAATGCAGGTTCTTTAAAAGGAAATGTTTCATATAAGGATTTACTGTATTTTATTTCACTCCCTGTAGCCTGGAAGTGACTGGTTTATTGCTTACTGCTTTGGAAAACCCTATAAAATACATAGAGGACAATAAAGAGCAAAAGGTAAATCTTCCAGCTTAGATTTGGTGTAAATGAGAAGCAACACCTTTGTGAAAGGATACTTTGAGCCTTTAGTGAAAGGTGAAAGACACTTTGTCAGCAGCAGAGCACCACAGCAGCCCAGAGCTGGTGCCAGCTGGCCAGAGCCAGTGCCAAATGTTCAGAAATATTGGAGCCCTTGACATTGTTCTACCTAAACATGACAGATACGTTGTAGGATATCTCTCTCTCTCTCTCTCTCTCTCTCTCTCCCCCCCCCCCCCCCTCCCCCCCCCCCTCCCCCTCTCTCCCTCCCCCCCCCCCCCCTCTCTCCTCTCTCTCTCCCCAGTTGTTGGACATTCACCAGCATAACCACTTTACAACTGGATAGTGTTAGGGTTTGGACCTACAGCAACTCCCTCCCCAGTGCAGCAGGGCCTCATGGGTTTGCAAGCCCCTGAGCATGCAGGAACCAAGTCTATGAGCACCCTGGTCTTTGAAGTCAAGAGAAGCAGACTTCTCTGCACCTTTTGGCCAAAGGCAGCAGGCTTTCCCTTTGATAAACAGACTCCACCTTTTGACCAGAGACCCAAGGAGTTGCTTAAGCACAGCAAGCTTTCCCTTTGATGATCTTAAAGGGTAAACAGACACTTTTTGACCCAGATCCTGGCTGATGGACAGAAGGGGGCAGTTTTAACAGAAGCTGTTCTGATAAGCCCTGGGCTCCTGCCACCCCCCCCCCCCCTAATTTTTTAAAATATGTTCTTGCATTCTGCATCCCCCCAAAGCTCCCAGCCCACAACCCGTGGGCTAACATTTTCCCTACTACCCCAAAGGGAATTTGTCCCGTGCAAATTTCCTTTGCTAATAAACTCTATCCCACTAGAGTTTCACCTGTGTCCTGGTGCTTTCTCCCAATTGACCCGATCCATCTATCTAATTCGTCTATCAGATATAATTCGATTAGATCTACAAGAGAAAAAATAGGAAAGCTGCCTTTATGTGATGATCTCACTGGACTAAAATCGTTTTAGTCCCTTCAAATGAGTCATCTATACTTTGCTCATTTCCTTTATAAAACTCCCTTCTCCAATTAACACTGTACTACAACAGGAAACAGACAGAATTATCTGTTCTACTAACCTGCTCCATAAAGCTGATGAGACACTCCGAAGAACCATCTCTCAGACCATGAAGCAAGCAAAAGGTATGTTGGGTGGCTCTGCACTGCTCAGTTGGTGTGGCATTGCTTCTTGCTGCTCTCATTTCCTTGACACTCAGGTAGATTTTGACCTTTCAATTTCTATCAGGGTTTTTTTAAATTTGTTATTTGGTTACAAAATTAGGTATTTCCCTAGATCTGGGTGTTCATCCATTTAGTAAATTTGTACTGACTGAGCTACTATAAAAAAAAAGTGTGTGTGTGTGTGTGTGTGTGTATATAT